TATATATATAAATATTAGGGATGCTTATTTTGGTTAATATTGCTAACCGACAGCCGTTGCTCGTTAATCAAATATTAACAGTTAACTGGTCAGATTAATAATAATTTTTTTTAATTGACGTGTATTTTGTGTGTGACACATTAAATATTGCATTTTAAAATACTGATTTATTTTAACATACTAGCTTAATAATAATAGAACATAACAGAGCATCTTCACGCACCTGCAGTGATTCTAACAGCATAGAAAAGCAGAATAAACTAAATAAAATAAATAGGCCTGCCCTAAATTATTTGCCCCTGAATTATTAATTTAAATTACAAAATGAAAACACTGACTGATTCTTTTTAAGAACCAGCATAGGCTGTTTTTTTTTTTCAATCATATGTTTTTTTTCTTCTGCCAAATAAAAATGCATATGTAGACTTTTTGTAAACAGTTTTGTTTAAATATGATATTGCAATAATTTGAATACATGCTTTATAAGCTGTACAATGAAAGATAAAGCCTATTTGTTGTGTTTATGATGCAGATCCAGGAGGCGATCAGCATCAGCGCTGGTTTGGCATCAAATTGTCTGTATTAAACAACAATATTCTTCTACCATTTTGCTTCTTTGGCAAAAATATCTGTAGGCACGTGTGGTTATTTAATGATTGACCTCTGCATTGTGTTGTGTTGCAATCATCACCAATTTAAAGTAAAGAAACCCTCCAAAAGTGATTCTCAGCTTCTTTTTATTCTGAAAAAACAAATCAAATCACATAACATCACATGTAAAACAGGGCAATGTAACGTTACTGCAGACAAAACAGTATCAGCATCAGCCATCATCTGCTGAACTCTTATTAACATTTTTACAAAACAAATTAACTTATAAAGTATATATTTTCACATACCTGCAACAAATCACATCACATGTAACAGGGCAATATACTGAAAGATTCCAGAATATCAGACTCTAATAACTCTTATGGATTTTCATGAGACAGGATGCAATGCTCCAATGGACTTTCTAATCTGAGAAGTGATGAAGAAACCAACTGTTCCACTGTTCTATTCAAATCACTGTTGACAATGCAAACACAAGCTGGTGAAACAGAGCTACACCACAGCAGGGAGTAATGCGAGAAAGTCACCCTTCTCCTTCCACCTCAAGCCCCCCTTCTTGACCCTTATGTTACCTTTTGATCAGAGCAAATAATTTACATTTTCACTCAAAATGTACAAGGTTCTATTATGATGTGTCTTGCAGCACTATATTCATGTTTGGTATAGTTTTAAATGTCTCTGTGTGATTGGTAAAGTGGTCTTAATTTTACAGTAATATTTTACTGGTATATGTTGATTTGGTTTTTGACTTTGATAAGATCTTTGCCAGATGCTGCCCCTCCTAAGAGATGGTTAACTCATCAAATTCACTAGGCAGGGGTCTGTATGACACTGCTATTGTCTTGAATTTATGGCTGTTTGTTTTGACTTGAGTATATAAGGTAAGATGTGCTTTAGGACGGGGGAAGATTGAAGTGGATTTTATACTCTTTAAAGTGTTAAGTTAATCTATATATTCAAATTATATGTGTATAATCTGCTTGTAGATTTGCCTACCATTAAAACAAGTAAAGTGTTATGTAAGGGGAAAGGGCCTGAGTAAGCAACTAAGATGTCTCAGAAAATGGATAAGAATAGAGCAACACATGTGTAAACAGAGACGTATAGATGGATAAGATATATAGTTACCAGGTTTGGGTCAAGGGTTAACCTAGGTGGAATTTGTGTGACATATGTAGAAATAAGGGAAAAACTGATGACAGAGGTGGAATTTGGGGTCAAGGGTTAAAGTAGGAGGAATCTTGTGTAACATATGGAGAACAAAGAAAAAAACTGGTGTAGAAGACTATTTAAACAGGCTATAATTTGAGTGAGACAGAATTTTTCAGACAGAGATGCTACTGGGGGTCTCCTGAAAGTTCTCCTTTGTTGTCGACAATAAAGTATATTCTTCTGATATTCATAACCTCCAGACTGAGTTTGATTTAGTAAGAGAAGAACCAAGAAAACCACCACATTTGGCGTCCCTCTGGGTGGGCTGGAAAGGAGCAGGACTGGTGTTGCTGTGCATGCTGGACTGGAGAGAAAACACAAATATGTGGCCACAATAAAAAACGGTAAGCAATTTTATGCTTATTAGTTTGTGTTTTTTCTGCCAGGACCTGCTTGTACAGGTAAATACACTTGAACTGTTTCTCCAGCTTTAAAGAATTAAAAGTAAATGTAAAAAAGATATTAAAGAAAAAAGGGGTTTTGAATAACAGAAGAAAAAGAATTTGCATGCAAATGATCTGTGTTTTCCTAAGAGGGCCTTGATGGATAGGATAAACATTAACTAGTAACTGTTACTCAGATTTGGGAAATTATTAATGATATAAGATATGCATAGAGCATTTATAAGTTTTAAGAGAGAGTCTTTAATGTGTGGTGACAGTTAAGAGATTAAAGCAGAGTAAGGTATGCAAATGATCTGTGTTTTCCTAAGTGGGCCTTGATGGATAGGATAAACAATCACTAGTAACTGTTACCCAGATTTGGGAAATTAATAATGATGTAAGAAATGCATAGAGCATTTATAAGTTTTAAGTGAGAGTCCTTAATGTGTGGTAACAGTTAAGAGATTAAAGCAGATTAAAATAGAGAGATGCGCGCTAAGACCTACGATACCGCTTTGTTTGAGGAGATAAACAAAGGGCTGCATGGGTAGGCGAAAGCCTGTGGTTACCGCTCTAAGGTTAGAGGGCTGCTCGGACAGGTCACTCAAGAGGAGTGTAGTGTAGAGTATTTATTTAATTGAAGTGTTTGTGTATTTGCTGCTTCAGATTGTGGCAAAATAGTCCACATTGGTGGGCAGAGAAGACTGCCTTCCTTCTCGTTGAATGGAATGAGGATGGGGGGATGCAGCTCCTGTTACACTGAGTGGAGGAGAGGAGTGAATGAGAAGAGGAAAAGTAATAAGATTAGAAGTGTGAATGTGTTTAAAAGTATGTTTTCAATAAGGAGTAGGTTAAAATAATGATTATAGTATATTATAATATAAAAGGAGGGCTGCATATGTGTGGTGTGATTTAAAGAACAATAGGAATAGTGATTGATGCAGTTTAAGAGAAGAGATTATGATATAAAGAGAGGAGTCTCTTAAATCAAAACTAATGGAACATGTTGCATTTGAAAGACACAGAGTAAAAGGCAGAATAATATAATAGTTAAACATTTTTCTGAAATTATCTTTGTGTTTTAAGTTTGAATATGTTAAAAAAAGAACAATAGGCAGAGTGAACTGAAATTCCTGACATAGCAATGAGTGAAAGACAGTCTGCTCCAGGATGGGGGTAAGAGAGAGATTTATGGTGTCCATGTGTGAACAATAGATTGCCTATTTACAGCACTAGGAAAACAGAGAAGAGGAGAGTTAATGAGAGGAGATCAAACTATAGATAAAATAATGACATAGACTTTAACATAATTTGGATAGAATATAAGTTATTAATGAATAGACAAATTATAAAGTAGTATAGTAAGATAAATGAAATGAGAAAGTACTAATAATAGAGTTATATTATATAGAAAAGAGTTTGAAACTTTACTAATGAAAAAGAATAAATGAAGCCATAGTGATCAATATATATAGAGATAAAGGAAGTATGGAGTA